GAGACCATCCTGGCTAACATGGTGAAATCCCGTCTCTACTAAAAATAAAAAAAATTTAGCCGGGCGTGGTAGCGGGCACCTGTAGTCCCAGCTACCCAGGAGGCTGAGGCAGGAGAATGGCATGAACCTGGGGGGCGGAGCTTGCAGTGAGTGGATATCATGCCACTGCACTCCAGCCTGGGCGACAGAGCAAGACTCTGTCTCAAAAAAAAACAAAAACCAAAAAACAGTGTACCCTATTCCTTTAAAAGCCAAGTTAAATTTAAAACCTATAATTAATAATTGAAGGTATTCTCCATAACCCTATAACACTCCAATACCATTTTGCTGTCAGTGTAAACAAGGGCATATCCTGAAAGCACTGAGGCCTTCCTATCAAAAATCCTTAACCCGGTAACCCACAGGTGGCCCAAATGCATTCAGTCTGTAGCGGCAACTGCTTTGCTAACAGTAAAAAGTACAAAAAAAGCTTTTAGAGGAAACCTCATTGTGAGTACACCTCACCCTCACCAGTTCAGAAGTATCCTAAGGTGCGGGGGGCGGCGGGGGGGAAAAAGGATGATTTAACATTAACCACTGAAAATTCCCTTAACCCAGCAGGTTTCCTAACAGGGAATCTAAATCTTAATTACCATAAAAAGGTCTGACCAGACCTAGGAGGAACTGCCTTCAGGACAGGACGATCGATGGTTCCTCCCAGGTAATTGAGGGAAAAAAGAAAAGCCATCTATACCAAATCTAAGTTAATTTGGACAAAACGAGGTCTTATTAATAGCAAAAGATAATTAAAATCCCAAACTTACAAGGTTTTCAACAGAAGTAAAGTTTGCTAAAAGTTAACGGTGTAACATGTATTATAGTAACTTCTAATCTTGTGGCCTTAGACAGTCTAGTCCACAGACATAAAGGAAGTTTGCTTTAGAAAAGAATGGTTATCATCTTTGAAAAAAAAAAAAAAAAGGAGGTGGGGAAAGGGGGGGAAGAATTTATGTAAAAAGAGTGTTATATGGTAAATTCTTGTCCTGAAATAAATTAACTGGTTGTTTAAAGAAAGAAATGTTTGCAATAAGTCAGAAAGTTGAGGCATGTCGAAGAATTGTCTATGAAAGTCGTTAAAGAGAAAAATGTTATAAAAAAAGAATTTATGCAAGAAATATTGTATAATTTAAAAGTAGGCCTCCTGAATGTAAAACTATTGGGAAAAAAACAGTTTGTGTGCAAGGTGTATACGAAAAGTAAAATATACCTTTGGTAAAGGATTATAAGGAGGCATTGTAATACCTAACTTTGTTTTAACATGAATAGACTCTCCCTTAGAAACCACACCTTGTTAGATACCTCACCTTGTTTTAATGTAAAAAGACTCACCCTTAGCTGAGAAAACCTGAGGGACTCCATTTGGCTCCTTCATTTGCAAGACATCAAGGGCTCCTTACCCATCCCTTTCCTCAAAGACTTAACTTGTGCAAGCTGACTCTCAGCATATCAAAGAGTGCAATTAACTGATAAGGTACTGAGGCAAGTAATGCCTGCAGTTTCCAGGAATTTGCTCAGGAGATAGTACCATAAAGCCCCCACATTTGTGTCCAGCAGATAACATCCAGAGCTCCCACACCTATCACCTTGGGATGAATTTAAAGCCCCTGCACCTGGAACTGTTTGTTTTCCTGTAACCATTTGTCTTTTTAACTTTTTTGTCTGTTTTACTTCTGTAAGATTGCTACAGCTAAAATCCCCCTCCCCTCTCTAAACCAAAATATAAAAGAAAATCTAACCCCCTCTTCGGGGCCGAGAGAATTTCGAGCATTAGCTGTCTCTCGGTCACCGGCTAATAAAGGACTCCTGAATTTGTCTCAAAGTGTGGCATCTCTCTAACTTGCTTGGTTACAACAGCATAAGAATGTAAATTTTTACCTACATTAAAAGGTTAAAAAAATTGTTTTGAAAGTTTAAGCAAGCTTTAAAACATTAATTATAAAAAACATTCTGTGTGTAAACATATTAGCTAAAGTTAAAGAGGTATCACCCAGTTTTTCTGTGATGTGTGGTGGTATTGTGGTGGACCTTTACTGGGCACTCTGCCGAATAACTGGAGTGGCACTTGTGCTTTAGTCCAGTTGGTTATCCCTTTCACCTTGGCATTTCATCAACCAGAGGGAGAAAAAATAAGATGTCATAAAGCAAGAGAAGCCCCTTATGGGTCTTTTGACTCTCACATCCATTTAGACACAATTAGAGTCTCATGGGGAATACCAGATCAATTTAAAGCTTGAAATCAAATAGCTGCAGGATTTGAGTCAATATTTTGGTAGGTGAGAGTTAATAAAAATGTAAATTAGATAAACTACATCTATTACAACCAACAGCAAAGAGCTTTTCATGAGTTAAAAGAAAAACTCATGTCGGCCCCAGCCCTGGGGCTACCTGACCTGACAAAACCCTTTACACCCTATGTGTCAGAAAGAGAAAAAATGGCAGTTAGACTGTGGGGCCCTGACCAATGCCAGTGGCCTATCTCTCAAAACAACTAGACGAGGTTTCCAAAGGCTGGCCCCCATGTTTAAGGGCCCTGGCAGCAACAGCCCTGTTAGCACAAGAAGCAGATAAACTAACCCTTGGGCAAAACCTGAATATAAAGGCCCCCCCCCATGCTGTGGTAACTTTAATGACTACCGAAGGACATCATTGGTTAACAAATGCTAGATTAACCAAGTACTAAAGCTTGCTATGTGAAAATCCCCACATAACCATTGAAGTTTGTAACACCCTAAACCCCGCCACCTTGCTCCCAGTATCAGAGACCCCAGGTGAACATAGCTGTGTAGAAGTGCTGGACTCAGTTTATTCTAGCAGGCCCAACCTCTGAAACCATCCTTGAACATCAGTAGACTGTGAGTGGTATGTGGACGGGAGCAGCCTCACCAACCCCTGCAAAGTGACTCTGAAGAAGACGACATGCCCTGCTCCAGTCACACTCAGAAGCTCACTGGTCCACGCACGGCTAAAGCATGAGAAAACTCATCGCAGGACTCATTTTCCTTAAAATTTAGACTTGTACAGTAAGGACTTTAACTGACCTTCCTCAGACTGAGGACTGTTCCCAGTGTATACACCAAGTCATGGAGGTAGGACAAAAAGTTGCTGCAGTCCTATAATTTTACGATCATTATAAGTGTACCAGGACTCTAAAAAAAAACTTGTTTGTATAATGCTATTCTACGCAAGGTATGTAGCCCAGGAAATGACCAACCTGATGTGTGTTTTGACCCATCTTAGCCTCCCATGACCACAGTTTTTTAAATAAGATTAAGGACTGAGGACTTGTGGAGGCTCATAAATGATATGAGTAAAGTGTTAGCCAAAACGAAAGAAAAAAGGGTGCCCAAACAAGTCACCTTGAAGTTTGATGTCTGTGCTGTCATTCATAGTAATAAGTTAGGGATAGAATGCAATTCTTTTAATTAGGAAAGAGGCTATATGGCAGAAAATAGGTACATTTTTCAGAATTAGGACTGTGTGGAAATGAATGTGGATACTGGTCTTGTGTCATTTAGGCTACTTGGATAAAAAATAAAAAAGATCCTGTCCACCTTCAGAAAAGGAAAAGTGGCCCTTCCTGTACCAGTGGTCAGTGTAACCCCTCAGAATTAGTAATAACCAACCCCTTTGATTCTCGCTGGAAAAAAGGGGAGCGTATAACCCTAGAAATTGAGAGGGCTGGACTAGATCCTCTAGTAAATATCGTGGTTTGAGGAGAAGTTTATAAACGCTCTCCTGAGCCAATATGTCAAACCTTCTATGATGAACTGAATGTGCCAGTACCAGAAATTCCAGGAAAAACAAAAAATTTGTTTTTGCAATTAGCTGAGCATGTAGCCCAGTCTCTCAATGTCACTTCATTTTATGTATGTAGAAGAACTGTAATAGGAGATCAATGGCCATGGGAAGCCCGAGAATTTGTACCTACAGACCCAGTTCCTGATGAATTCCCAGCTCAGAAGAATCACCTGATAACTTCTAGGTCCTAAAAGCCTCAATCATTAGACAATACTGTATATAGCAAGAGTAAGGAAGGACTTCACCCTTCCTGTAGGAAGATTCAGCTGCCTTAGGCAAAAACTGTACAATAATACTCCAAAAACAGCCACCTAGTGGAGTTCAAACCACACTAAGAAAAATCCATTTAGTAAATTCCCGAAGTTGCAAACTGTGTGAACCCACCCGGAGTCCCACCGGGACTGGACAGCCCCCACTGGATTATACTGGACATGTGGGCATGGAGCTTACACCAAATTACCCGACCAGTGGGCAAGTAGTTGTGTTATTGGCACTATTAAACCATCTTTCTTCCTACTGCCCATAAAAACAGGTGAAGTGCTGGGCTTCCCTGTCTGGGCTTCCTGCAAAAAGAGAAGCATAGTTATAAAAAATTAAAAAGATGATGAATGGCCCCCTGAGAGAATAATACAATATTACAGGCCTGGTACTTGGGCACAAGATAGCTCATGGGGATGCCAGACCCCCATTTACACGCTCAACCAAATCATACGGTTACAAACTGTCTTAGAAATAATCACTAATAAGACTGGCAGAGCCTTGACTATTCTGGCCTGGCAAGAAGCTCAGATGAGAAATGCTATCAGAATAGATTGGCTCTCAACTACTTGCTAACAGCTGAAGGAGAGGTCTGTAGAAAATTTAACCTTACTAATTGCTGTCTACACATAGATGATCAAGGGCAAGTAGTTGAAGACATAGTTAGAGAGATGACAAAACTGGTACATGTGCCCGTGCAAGTGTGGCATGGATTTGATCCTGGGGCCATGTTTGGAAAATGGTTCCCAGGGCTAAAAAGATTTAAAACTCTTATAATAGGAGTTACAATAGGAATAGAAACCTGCTTATTGCTCCCTTGTTTGCTACCTGTATTTCTTCAAATGATAAAAAGCTTCACGCTACCTTAGTTCACCAAAATGACACCCCTATAGCAAAATACAGGCTAATAAGAGAAAAGGTACAAATTTATTTAACAGAGTTTTACATGACATGGGAACCTTCAGAAAGGAAGACCCAAAGAACCAGAGAAAAGTGTATTTTTATGCTTGGATGTTATGAAGAATGGACAGTCATATAGAAATGTGATTGTACAAAAAGCAGGTATGACCTAATGGTACTAAACTGTAGGGAACTCAGCAAGGCTTGTCTGTTCAGGTACTTCTTGGCCTCTCTGTCTTTTCCTCCAGGTACAGGGCAAGCCACCTGCACATGAGGGTCTTAAGATCTCCTTCCAGGGAAGGTAGATCAGAGAATTCCTTTATGTCCAGCTGTCACACAGAAAGGCTGGGGTAACCTTCTTGCTTCTGAGATCCACCCCATCATCTTCAGTTCAAAGAAGTTTGGGGTTGCATTTTCTGAGCCCTGATAATGATTTAGTAGAGAGAATTCAAAGCATCAAATGAGAGCTGAACTTCTGAATACTAAAAAGTACCCTAGGAATTAAAACCAGTAGTGGCACTCATCCCCAAATTCATATGGAATCTCAGAGACACCGAGTAGCCAAAACAATCTTGAAAAAGCAGAACAAAGTTAGAGAAGTCACACTTCCTAATTTCAAAACTTACTAGAAAGCTACAGTAATCAAAACAATATGGTACTGGCAAGAAGACAGATACATAGACTAACAGAAGAGAATAGATAACCCAGAAATAAACCAGGCACATATGGTCAATTGATTTTTGACAAGGGTGCCAGGATCATTAAATTGGGCAAAGGGCAGTGTTTTCAACAAATGATGCTGGAAAAGCTGGACACTAAAGGGCACTAGATTTTAGTGTGGCATTATACCACCACAAATACGCCTTTTTGGCATGTGGATTGTCTCAAGCTAAGGCCAGTGAGAACACACAGACACAGGAAAAGCTCTAAAAACAGTGTGCAAGTTTTTCTTTTATTTTTTAAAGGAAATTTCCCCTTGCAGAGATGACTTCTGAGTCTCCTATACCAGAAAGAAAAGGACATTTACTCTAATCAATGGAGATGGCACCAACTTAAATCTGTATAACATACCTTACTAAACAATGATAATTTCACTGGTCTTGTTTCTGTAACTTGCCTCCCCAACTCAGAAGCCCAAAGCCCCTTTCGTTTTAGCCTAAGAAGATATTTGAAACCATGATCTAACCTCTTTTTTGAGTAATTCATCTCCAGGCGCTTCCATGTGTACTTGTGCAACGAACACGTTAATGAACTTCTGTTTGGTCCTCTGTTAATCTGCCATTGTCCAGTCTTATTTGCGGGACCCCAGCTGGAGAACCTAAGATGGGTAGAGAAAAATACTTTTTTCCACACCTACAATATCCATATGCAAAAGAATGAACTTAGACCTTACAACATAAACAAAAATTAACTAAAAATGGGTTAAAGGTCTAAATGTAAGACCTAAAACTATAAAACTCAGAAAAAAACACTGGAGAAAACCTTCATGACATTAGATTTGGCAATGATTTCATGGGTATGACACCAAAAGCATAGTCTATGAAAAATAAACAGGCCAAGTGCAGTGGCTCATGCCTGTAATCCCAGCATTTTGGGGGGCTGAGGTAGGCAGATCACTTGAGGTCAGGAGTTTGAGAGCAGCCTGGTCAACATGGTGAAACCCTGTCTCTAGTAAAAATACAAAAAAAAAAAAAAAAAATTAGTGGGCATGGTGGCAGCCATCTGTAATCCCAGCTACTCAGGAGGCTGAGGCAGGAGAATCACTTGAAACTGGGAGGCGGAGGTTGCAGTGAGCCGAGATCACGCTACTGCACTCCAGCCTGGGCAACAAGAGTGAAACTTCTTCTCAATAAATAAATAAATAGGACTATATCAAAATTTAAAACTTTTGCATATCAAAGGATACTATCAAAAGAGTAAAAAACAAACCCCACAGAATGAGGAAAAATATTTGCAAGTCATCTGTCTGATAAGGGATTAATATCCAGAAAATATAAAGCACTCAACAACAACAAAAAATAAGCAACCCAATTAAAAAATAGGCAAAGGACTTGAATAGACATCAATAAGCAGATGAAAAGATATTCATCACTAGTCATTAGGGAAATGCAAATTGAAACTGTGATGAGATATCAGTTCATACCCACAAGATTGGCTATTATTTTTAAAAATAGAAAATAGAAAATAAATATTGGACAGGATGTAAAGAAATTAGAATGCAAGTGCATTACTGGTGGGAATACAAAACAATACAGCTGCTGTGAAAAGCAGTTTGGTGGTTACTAAAAAAAAGATAAACATAGAATTAATATATAACCTAGAAATTCAACTCTTGGATATACACCCAAAGAACTGAAAGCAAGGATTTACACCGAGACTTGTGCATGAATGTTTATTGCAGCATTATTCACAATAGCACCCCATCCCACCACCACCAATTTTGAGTTATACGACTTACACATAAAATGGAAGAGGATAGGAAATAGACTCTTAAATGGCAAAAATCTGAAAGAGTGAAAGCCTAGTTTTATTTATTTTTATTATTTTTACTTTTTGTTTTCTTTTTTGAGACAGAGTCTCACTCTGTTTCCCAGGCTGGAGTACAGTGGCACCATCTCAGCTCACTGCAACCTCCGCTTCCCAGGTTCAAGCAACTCTCCTGCCTCAGCCTCCTGATAGCTGGGACTACAGACACGCCACCACACCCAGCTAATTTTTGTATTTTTAGTAGAAATGGGGTTTCACCATGTTGGCCAGACTAGTCTCAAACTCCTGAACTCAGGTGATCGGCCTGCATTGGCCTCCCAAAGTGCTGGGATTATAGGCATGAGCCACCATACCTGGCCTAAAGCCTAGTTTTAAATTCACAGTGCAGGGTCCTTGAGCCCATGAAGATGCCCCATAAATGTTTGATGACTGAGTACTCATGTTTCAAGGCCCAGTTCAAATGTCATCTCCTTCAAGAAGCTCTCCTCTCTTAGCCTGCATGCTCTGTGCTCTGGTGGAATGATTGTGTGTCTATTACAGAGGGTGGAGTGGGGGAGGGACAGTGATTTAACAGAGTGGACCAAGCACAGCTTACATTCCAGTCCCTGCTCTGTCCTAAGCTGTGTGATTTTGGACAAGTTACTTAGCCTTCCTGAATTTCCTCATATGGAAAGCAGAGCAATCATTCCTACCTCTTAGAATTGCTCTGAGCATTATTAAAGGGCCATACACAACGAGCACAGAGCACTCAATAAATGCTGTAATCATTGCTATGATGACCACATCCCTATTCTTATAGCAGTAGACTGAATCCTCCCTAGAAAGAACATATCTACCTCTGTACCCCTTTTGTAATCGCGTGATGGTTCTTCCTGACTGCTGCACAGACAAAGCCAATTCACTGAGACTGTGGTATTGCAGTAAAGAAATAGTTAAATTAACGCAAGGCTGGCTACATGACAGAACTGGAGTTATCACTCAAATGAGTCTCCCTGAAGGCTCAAAGGGAAGAGTTTTTCAAGGATATAGTTGGTGGGCAGGGGACTAGGGAATGGGTGCTGCTGATTGGTTGGGGATGTAATCATCAGGGTGTGGAAACAGCCCTTATGTGCTGAGTCCACTCCTTCATGAGGCCACAGGACCAGTTGAGTCATGAGTCATGGGTCTCAGTGAGGTCATTCTGAAAGACATCCAAAAAAACCAATCTTAGGTTCTACAATAGTGATGTTATCTATAGGAGCAATTGGGGAAGTCACAAATCTTGTGATCCTTGGCACATGACTCTTGAGCAGTAAGGGATTAGGATTATAGAAACTATGCCTACAAGCCAGGTGTGGTGGATCACCCCTGTAATCCCAAGCACTTTGGGAGGCCAAAGTGGGCAGATTGGTTGAGCCCAGGAATTCCAGACCAGCCTGGGAAACATGGCAAAACCCCATCTCTACTGAAAATAGAAAAATTAACCAGGCATAGTGGCCCATGGGTGTAGTCCCAGCTACTCTGGAGGCTGAGGTGGGAGGATCACCTGAACCCGGGAAGCAGAGGTTTCAGTGAGCTGAGATCACACCACTGCACTCCAGCCTGGGCCACAGTGTGGCCCTGGTGTGGTGGCACATGCCTGTAATCCCAGCTACTCCAGTGGCTGAGGCCTGAGAATCATTTGAACCTGGGAGGCAAAGGTTGCAGTGAGCAGAGATAGTGCCACTGCACTCTAGCCTGGGTGATAGAGTGAGACTGAAAAAAAAAAAAAAGAAAAAGAAAAAAGGAAAGAAAGAAAAAGAGAGAGAGGGAGGGAGGAAGGAAGAAACTATGCCTACATTTTAGCAGATTCAGGCCCCTTCCATAATCCTAATCTTGTGGCCTTCGCTGGTTTTACAAAGATGGTTTCAGTCCCCTGAACGAGGAGGTAGTTAGTTTCAGAGAGGGGCTATTATCATCCCCACTTCAAAGTTAAAATATAAACTAAATTTCTCCCATTGTTAGCTGGCCCACACCCAGGAATGAGCAAGGATAGACTGTGAGGCTAGCAGCAAGATGGAGTCAGCCCTGCTAGATTTCTGTCACTGTCATAACATTTGCAAAGGCGATTTCACTTTTTCCCTCACTCAGACACACAGCTCCTGGCCCCTGGTCAAGAGTCAGCTAATGAATGAGTGAGCAAATGAGTGAATGAATGAATGCATGTTAAATCAACCTATTGTCCAGGGGGGTCTCCTGGGGTAGGAACGGCTGGAGACAGGGAAGCTCAGGAATATCACCCACAGCACCAACCTCAGACATTCAGCCTCTTTCATTCCATCTAAGCCCAAAGCAAACACTTACCTTCATGTGGTAACCAGTGGCCTCCCCCAGCCAGTTCCTCAGGACCTGAGGGTGCTACAGCTTCCAAATTGCCCTTATGCCAAGGACTTCTGCCAAAAGGTGGTATCACTTGGCTTGTGTTTCGGATTTCAGTATTATTTGTTTTTCCTCCTGCTCATGACCTTTCATAATGTGTGAAACATGATATTCCCAGCAGCTTGCTCATTCCTCTATTTTTAGGAAAATATTATAGGGGCAGAAGGAAAACTTCTTCTGAAGGTTTACTGAAAAATCAACTTACAAAAGTCAGATGAATTGGAGGAAAAGCATACAAAATATGGGGAGCATCACAGAGTGATTACCCAACCCACCAATGGGTTGCAGAAGCTTCTGTGTGAGCTCAGAGCATGGTCAAAACAAGGCTTTGGTGATGAATCTGGTTATGGGAGGGGAGGGGAATGAGAGCTGGCTAGCAGAGAAAGTCTTGTTATGTAAATAAAACCACAGGCAGCAGCCCTCAGAAAGAATAGATGCTAAATGTTTCTTTCAGACCTTTAAAATTGACAGATTCTTAGTTCATCTTTCCTGGATTATGACAAGTGAGAGCCTGGCTTCCTCTATGCAGATTCTCTGTAGATGCAAATTTTCCCCACAAAAGACAGCTTTGCAGGGCTACTTCTGTATGCTGGCTCTCTGGCAGCCATCTCGAAATATGTCAAAGAAATGTATTTTAGAGTAAAATATTTTTATTTCCTTCATTATCAAAAAGTAATGTGCTGTTTCTGTAACTGCATTTTCCCTGTTAGTTCAATAGCGGTGACACGTGTTGTCGTGTTTATTAACGATAAACCAGTGGTTCTAACCTGGGGAGTGGGTGAGTAATCTTCCCCCTGAGAGGACATTTTACAATGTCTGAAGACATTTGGCGGGAGGCAGTGCTAGGAGCATCTAGTGGCCAGAGGCCAGGGAGACTGCTACCATCCTGCAATGCAGAGGACAGCCCTCACCACATAGAATTATCTGTCTCAAAACATCAGTGGTGTTGAGGTAGAAGCATTGCTCTGTAACCTAAGAGAAGAAAGGCAGTTATCACTGTTAAATGGTAGTTTTCAAAAAAGACAAGATCATGACTCTCATACAGATATTAAAAATGAACCCATGGTAAAGATTCTATTTTACCCATGAGGGAAGCAGACAAATACTATAGCCAGTTTAAAAGAAACTCCAAAGAGCAAATGTATGGATCAGTTGTATGAAAATTGATATGCAAATTGAGGCACAATGGTTTTCCCACAGTGGGAGGGAAGTTAATTGAACCTCCAGCAGACGGGACATAATTTGCATCCTACACTGTGGAGTGGGCGGGTGATTTACAGTGATTTACAGAACTGTAAAATAGCTCCCATGGAACCAGAATCATACAGAAGGGTGTTCTGTGAACTACATCAGGGCAAAACACTGATGCCTGTCAGAATTAAATGTTTGTTCCATGAAGGTCAGTTTCAAGTCATTTGAGGATGAAGGACTAAC